CTTGTCGCTGCACTCCAGCCTGGGCCACAGAGTGAGACCGTGTCTCTACAACCCCCCCAAGTTTTGTAAAATGCTGTACTGAGACGGGATTAGCCTCGACGCCAGGGGGTGGGCTCCCTGGCCCTCCTCCCGACATGAGCGCCCGCTCTTCTCCCCGCACAGACCAATGCCCGGCATCCGTGTGTCCCTGGTTGTCTGAAGGCCTTCCCGTGCCTGCATGTTCCCCCAAGCCCAGCAGGGGCCCTCCCAGTGGGGCTGAGGGCCACCACGCCCCCGCACCCCTCGCAGCGGCCTGGAGGAGGCTGTTGGGGGGCTGGTAACTCCCCAAAACCCGCGTGTTGCCGGCATCCCTGCCTTGTCCCTGAGCCTGCCCCGGTGACCCTGTGTCTTCTGAACTGGTCACAGCCTCTCGGGACCCTCAGCAGTGTCAGGACACTGGTGGGTGTCCGGACTGGGGGTGCTCCTGGCATGGAGGGCTGGAGGCCAGGGACGCCGCTCAGCACCCTGCAGCGCCCAGGACGTCCCCGGCCCAGAGATGTCCACAGGATCCAGTGTCTGGAGGCTTCTCGTCTTCCCAAGCTGAAACAGCCCCCGTGAAGCACTCCCGTCCCCGTGGGGGGTGTAAAGGGTCCTCATGCAGCAGCCAAGGGACTGGCCTGGGCCAGGTGACAGCCGGAGCTGGTGACCGTGCCCTGGGGACAGCCTGGGCCCGAGGGGGGTCAGATTCCTTGAGCAGAAAGGGCAGACGGGATCCCAGAGAGAAAGTGGTTCTTGGGGTCAAAATCCTACAAGCCGGGCAACCCCCTTAGGTCCCTCCCACGGTGGGAGCTTTTCTGTCCTCTCAACAAATCCTGCTTTCTCACACGCACCAAATCCGACACCCGACACGCAGACCGTCAGGGTGGTGATGAAATAATGATGGGGATGAGGATAATAAAGCAGAGTCCCAAGTGCTGGGTGGACACGGAGAAACCAGAGCCCTGTGCCCTGCTGTTGGGAGCCTGGTGGGTGCAGCTACTGAGGAAACACCATGTGGTTCCTGGTAAGAGGACTTCTACCAGCATTTGCCCAGGAAACCTGCTTCTTGGAAGACCCAGAAGACCGGGACTTGACAAACTGCACAGCCCTGCACACACCCCTGCCTGCAGCAGCACGACTCACGGTAGGCACAGGGTGGAAACAGCCCGGGCCCACCAAGGTGTGGTGGGCAAACAGCGAGGCCCGTCCACACATGGACACAACTCAGCCGTGAGCCGGAAGGAGGCTCTGATGCCGGCCGTGACGTGGACAGACCTGGAGGGTACCACATGGGCAAGACGCAGGCACAGGCCGTGCCCTGTGAGAGCCCCCCAGTGGGCAGTCCCTGGGGTCGTCAGGGCTACGGGGGGGAGAGGTGGGATAGGGCGAGTGTTTTCTTAGTCGGAATCCTGCTCGGTCACCCAGGCTGGAGTGCAGCGGCGCGCTCGTGGCCACCACAGCCTTGACCTGCTGGGCTCAGGCGATCCTTTGCCTCAGCCTTCCAAGTAGCCGGAACCGCAGGTGTTGCTGTTGTAGCAATCAAGAGGCCTCACCATGTTGCTCAGGCTGGCCTCAAACCCGAGCTCAGGCAGTCCTCTCGCCTCGGCCTCCCAAGGAGCTGGGATGACAGGCGTGAGCCGCCGCACCCAGCTGCAGCGAGTGTCTCGTGGGACAGGTTCGGTCGGGGGAGGAGGACGTTCTGGAGACGGCGGTGGCGACAGCGGCAGCGGGGCTCGGGTGCCCAGTGCCCCGAGCCACGCACTTAGGCCTCAGAGCTAGGCTCCGAGTCTGCAGAAGCCTGTCCCGGTCCTGGCGTCCCGGCCCAGGGGGCAGGCGGAGGCTGCGGTGGAGCCCCGAGGCCACCGCAG